GCCGTTCTCGCTCTTTTGGGATAAACTTCAGGGCAGAAAAGGATTGGCTCCGTGTGCTACGCTTGGAGAGGACCTGAGCACCAAGTGAAGCTGAGGGGGTCGCCCAAACCCGTAGGCCGGCATAGCCCCGGGGCCTGCGTTGGCCTGAGCGCCATCATGGTCCTCGGCACTGTCACATGTTCCTTTCGCGGTCCCCTCCCCAGTTCCGGCGGGGAAGCCCGAACCTCCAGACCTGCAGCTCCCCACAGGTGAGACTGGGCCCGGCCTGGCTTTCCCGGTGCCGCCCAAAGCCTATGATGAGTTGCTTTAATTTCTGACACCTCGTATGAAAACTGCACGCGCAGTCTGATTATTTTGCAAGACTGAGGCTTGGGGCCTCCACCTGCCATTGGCGGGTGGGTCTGGGGGTGAAGACAGATGGGGAGAGTGGGCTTCTGTCTAACCTTCGGCACTCTGCCTTTCAGTGCCGTTGGCGGGCTGGTTGGAGACCTTGAGTGTGAATCAGCGTCCGTCAGTCCGGGGACCTGGTGGTAAGTAAGGCTGGAGAAGTCCTGTGAGAAGCAAATGATCTTTTCATACATCTTTCATTCAAAGATGTAACCCAGACATGTGGACCACATTTTGTGACTTAACCTGAGACTAACAGTCCACATCTACCCGAAGTGCTTAGCAATAAAACAAAAGTGGTATGAGTTGATTGGGGTGCACGAGTCTTTATTTTCACACCAAACGACTCCGTGGGAGGACGGGCTCATCCCTGGGCAACCTTGGGAAGGGGTAGAAGCATGAAAGTGAAACTTAATACTTGCCATCTGCTGAGACAACCGCCATTTTTGCCTGTAAGGCCAAAAAAGGATTTTGTGTGCCTTTTGCCCTAGCGGGGCATCATGAGGTGTTGTTTTTAATGTTTTTATTGATGTTAGAGAGAGATAGATCATCAATGAGAGAAACATCGATCTGTTGCCTCCTGCACGCCCCCACACTGGGGATTGAGCCCACTCCCTAACTCACTCCATGTCCCACCTCTTCCAGGTAAAAAAACAACTGGCCCCACAACATTCACAAAATAATTTTGAAATCTTAACTTCCACTCCCGAAGAAAAAGGGGTCTGGCTGGCAGCTCAGGCACATGCCGATGGTCTCCATGGGTGAGATGACCAGCAGCTGGTCAGAGAATGCAGTCCCCCAAAAGGGCCCTAAGTGGGAATTCCAAGTAGAATCCTCAGGCCTCGTCTCTGAGCCCACATGGTAACATGCCTCCTACCAGGGCTCCAAAAGACTGCCCACAAGGCAGTCAATTATGAAACATTTCAAAGACATTGCCCAAGGCCAGAGGAAAATTCTGCCCTTTTTCTCTCCTAACAGACAAAAAATTTACCGCTCTACATCCCACTTCTAGGGAAGGACTAATTTCTAAACAGGAATTCCCTCTCTCAATCTGTACCAAACATCAGACGCAAATTACAGAAATTATAGGACGGCCCTCAAACCCCACAAAAGGACCTTTTAACCCTTTGCGGTCCAATTTTATTTTTGGAAGTCAAACAATCTGGTCCAAATTAATTGACGGGATTGAGTGTTTAACCGGTTTGCGGTGTCTCAGCCTCCACGTTGGACTGAAAAGGGTTAAATATAGCCTTTAAGGTTTTAACAACTGGGATAAGGAGGCCAGAGTACAGAAACAAGAGACCAGGCTATCAGGGCTCTTATGGGAATAAGGCTCTCAGGGTCAAAAGTCCCAAGACATTCAAATGTAACAAGGAAGGACATTGGGCTAAGGCCACACCCTCCCTGGAGCTCTGTCCCTGCTCAAGGCAGGGCTATATCCCTCCAGGACATTCAGGCCTTTTACCAAGCCTAGGCTTGGCCAGAGAAGACTGTGGGGCCCTAGGGTAGCGGGTAAACCAATCTCTTGATATTCTGCCCTACTGGAATTTACAGACCCTGCTTACCTCACAAGTCTATTGTGGGAGTTGGCCTGCTTTCTAAACCCCTAGCCACCCCTTTAAGTTGTCTCCAATAAGGAATTCCCTTTAGTCGTTCCTAATTTCCCCAAGTGCTCAACCCCTATTCTCCACTGAGACATTTTGTCAACCTCCCACTCCCTGCTTTCCTAATTAACCCAAAGTATGGCATACCTCAACCCTTCCATTGCCTGACATCACAGCCAGATTTAAATAAAGCAAAAAAAATCTACATTTTCCTGTCAACATTTCCTATCCCTAGAGAACAGAAAGGGCCTCCAGCCTGTCAAATGTCCTAAAACCTAATAGCCCCACCAACTCCCCATACAATACCCCCATTGTACTCCTCAAGAAACCAGATAGCTCCTACCACCTAGTTCAGAATCTTTGGGTCATCAAGCTGTCCTCCCCGCACATCCCATGGTACCCAACACCTCTCACTTCATGGTCCTGGACCTGAAGTATGCCTTTGCCATCCCTTTACACCCAGGCTCAGAATCTCTGCCTTCACTTGGACTGATCCCACAACCCAATAATCCTGTCAGCTCTCATGGTGGACTGTCCTTCCCTAAGGCTTTTGAGGCAGCCCCCATCTTTTTGGACAGGCACTGGTGTCAGACCTTCCCAACCTCCATCTTGGCCCCAGTATTCTCCAATACGTAGACTACCTCCACCTCTGTAGCTCCTACTATCTCCCACCAACATACTACTACTCTCCTCAGTTACTTAGCAGAGAAAGGATACCAAGTCTCGAAAAAGATTCAACGGTCAGCCTCCCAGGTCACTTACATGGGTCTCACCACAACTCCCCTACACCGTGCCATCATCCTACATGGAAAGGAACTTACTGCCTCCCTTCCTCCCTCAAAACAAGACCTCTCCTTGGGACTTGCAGGGTACTTCCACATTTGGAGCCCCAATTTCAGTGTCCGCACGCCTTATATCAGACACCAAGAGGTCCATTGACAACCTTTAAATCCCACCACTAATAGCCCATATTTCAAAAGACTTCAACAAGCTCTCATTTTGGCTTCTCTCTCTCAGACCTCTCCAAACCTTTCAACTAATGAAAACTAAATGCCAAACACAACCCTGCCGCTCTTACCCATTCCTAACAGATCTCACATTCATGCAGAGAAATTCTTGACTTCAAAATCCCCCACTTCTCAAATATGGATCAGCCTTTATCTAATACTAATTACACTTGGTTTATTGATGGTAGCTCCTGTTCCCAACGCTGTAGTATCACTCGATGGACTTGTTGGTCAGAGTCTCTTCCCCAAGGAACTCCCAGAAGACAACTGACTGCCCTAACTGGTCACGGATAAGACCGTCCATGTATACACTGATTACAAATATGCTTTTCACATCATACACTCTCATGCCTCAAATCTGGGAAGAAGGGCTTCTTTTTTAAAAAATATATTTTTTTAATTGATTTTTTACAGAGAGGAAGGAAGAGGGATAGTTAGAAACATCCCGATCAGCTGCCTCCTACATGCCCCCTACTGGGGATGGAGCTCACAACCAAGGTACATGACCTTGACCGGCATCAAACCCCCTTCAGTCCGTGGGCTGTCTCACTATCCACTGAGCTAAACCAGTTAGGGCGGGATTTTTTTTTTTAATCCTCACCTGAGGATATTTTTCCATTGATTTTTTAGAGAGGGAAAGACAGAAATATTAATGTAAGACACATCAATTGGTTGCCTCCTGCACATGCCTGGAGTAGGGCCTGGGCCAGGGAGGAGCCTGCAACCAAGGTACATGCCCTTGACCGGGATTGAACTCGGGACCCTTTGGTGCATAGGCCGATGCTCTATCCACTGTGCCAAATTGGCTAAGGCAGAAAGGGGATTCTTAACCACCAATGGCTCCCCCATAACCAATGCCCCCTTAATCCTTAATCTCCTACAGGAAGTAGACCTTCCTAAGGCAGCAGCAGCCATACACTGTGGGCAATGATCCCGTAATACAGGGCAATAACTGGGTGGACCAGGAAGAACAGTGGCCCAAAGAAAACCCTCCTCTCAGCTCCTAGCTATTTATAACCACAATACACACCTGGGGAACTTGAGTCCCTCCTTGTTCTCGGAGCCACCCAGGAAAACCCCTAGATAAGACTTAAGGGCACATATGTCCTCCGCCAGGGACAAGCTCACCAGATATTATGGGCCATTTATGACTCCTTACACATAGCATACAGACCACTTGTACAGCTTTTAAGACCTCTTATTACATGTCCTGACCTAGCTTCCTTATTACAAGATATCACCAAAACTTGCTCTGTCTGTTGTACAGTATCTCCACGAGGACACATTAGATCTCCTTCCACACACCAGGCCAGGGGCCAGATTCCTGGACAAGACAGGCGAGATGATTTCATTCATATTCCCCCTATTAAAAGAAAATATCTTCTACCCCTGGTAGATACCTTTTCAGGCTGGTTAGAGGCATTCCCTACCACACCTGAGAAGTAATCTGAGGTTACACAAGCCTTCATACAACATGTCATTCCTTGATTTGGACTGCCCACCTCCTTACAGTCAGACAATGGACCTGCCTATATATCCCAAATAACCCAAGAAATCTCTTCAACTCTGAATATCCAGTGGAACTTACATACCCCTTACCGAACCCAATCTTCGGACAAAGTAAAAAAGGCCAACTCCCTAATTAAATCTCATTTAACTAAATTAACTCTTGAGACTAAGGAACCTTGGACCTCCCTCTTACCCCTCACCCTCATGTGCATCCGAACAACTCCCTGGGCCCCATCCTTTCTCAGCCCCTTCGAATTTGTGTGGAAAGCCCTTCCTACTAGGAAATTTACCTTCCAAGGAAACCCCTTTAGGAGATTATATACCTAATGCCCGATGCACGAAATTCGTGCAAGGAGCTCGGCCCTCGCAGCCCTGGCTTCGTCCAGAAGGTCATTTGGCTGTCCCGTCTAATTGGCATATTACGCTTTTGTTATTATAGATAACCTCGTCAGGCAACTAATGAGTGCATACAGACCAGATTTTTCCACAGCCCTTTACGGGAGAGATCCCTTCCACGCCTCTACGGCCAGGGGACTGGGTCCTATTGAAGGAAATGCATCCATCAAATTACAGCCCCGATGGCAAGGCCTATATTAGGCCTATATCACTCCTATGGCCACTAAACTGCATGGCCACCCCACAGGGTTCCACTTTTCTAGGTTAAAACAGGTCCCGGAACACCATCACCACAGACCCCCCTGACATTGAAATCCCCAAGATACTACAACCACCAAGTCGGACCCACGAAACTTCAACTCACCTGCATTCCAGAGGAAGAAGACAAATGAGTGAGCACCTTCCTAAGGCAGCACATGTCCCCTCTGTACAACCCTTGATACTTCTGAGCCCCCTGAAAGCCTACCACCTCTTCCCCAACAAATCCTCTCATCTTAGCCACGGCCCCTCTCCTCCTTCATGTCTGGATTCTAACCTATGGGACTCTTATTTACAAGGAGACTTCAACTACCCATGGAACAAAATCTCTCCCTACCTGGATCCAGAAAACATCTTCATTTTCCCTTGGGGGAACCCAAGCCCTGGAAACTGGGACTAGCTCTCCTCCTTTTCCTCTGCCAACCCTGTTCTCCCACTCCCCTGAAAAACTTTCTTACCTCAATTCTCTTAACCGTACCCGTTCTCTTCTAAACAAATTAAACCCAGCGCTAGCTCAAGACTGTTGGCTTTGCCTGTCCTTTTCTTCTGTCTATATTGCTATCCCGGTACCACTCTTTAAGTGGAATCAGGCAAAGACCACTTTTACCTATAAAAAGGAAAAAGGAGCCATTTTTCTAGATAAAGCAAATACTCTCCTAGGCAACTATCCTACCAATCAGGCTTCTCTTCCACACTTACATTCAAACCCTCGCCACTGTAGCTCCCACCTCCATACTTGTCACAGGCCCTGTCACCCTACACACCCCACTAATTGCCCAAATCCCTTTATGCTTTACAAGATCAGAGGGCAATACGTATATCAATAGGCCATCTTCCATCATCACCTTGCAACACCACAGTTACTCTAGTGAGGGGGAATATAGGGGGTACCTGGGGGGTCGGGGTTAGCCATCTGAATCTGTGCCAGTAACCAATATCCTAATGCACATTCTTGTTAGCCTATAATTAAGTCACTGCCCCTTCCTTAGGCAATAATCTGTTTTCCTAAATACTCGCAGTTTACAAAGGCCATAAACCAAGAATTTAACAGCTTAGCTAGAGGGGAGGTCACAGGCAGCACCCAGGCCAGGCCTTTGGGTGTACTCTCATTTCCCCCATCCCAACCCACAGAGGGACTGCAAAGCCCCCCAAAAGTCCGAAGCCTGGTTCATATTTGGGGAGACAAACCAAGGGGACAAATGGGAGAGACTCTCCACATTCGGCACTTGGGCTTTGGAGAAGGACTCCCCTGAGTCACCATACTTGTACATCTGCAAATAAAGAGTTTTTCCTGAACCTTCCGAGTACCCGTTGTTTATTTTTCGGTCACCTGGTAAATTCTGAAACTAGAACTCCTGATAGGCCGTTGATCCCAGTCGGTCAACCAGCAGGTCTCATCAGAGGTCAGTGGTCATTTCCTACAGCCGGTCTGCTTTACTGCCTACCCAGTCATCCAAGCCCAGGGCTCCAACTGCTCCTTTCTTTCCTTCTTGCTTTTTCCCTGGGTGACAAGCCATTCTAGCATTCCTGCCCACTTTCACTGCACTAAAACCTCAACCACTCAGCTGTCACTCCTTATCGGCGGCACTTTGGCGACCACCCTTATGATTTGGAGCACAGAACCAGTACAACAAGGGAAATCCATTACATACCCTCTATCCACCTTTTTTCCTCTACATTTCTCAGTTTGCCCGATTTGGGATTTTTTTTTCCTCTGGGGGGATAATGGCTACATCTGCCTCCCAACTAATTGAACAGGAACTTGCACCCTTTCTTATCTCTCACCCAGTGTAGATATAGCTCCCAACAACCAGTCTTGGCCCGTTCCCATAACCCTTCACATTTGACATAAAAGGGCAATACAGATAGTCCCTTCCTAGTAACCCTTGGAATCACCTCAGGAGTCGGGACTGGGGGGCTGACTACTGCTCTCATATTTCAAAACCCTATCCTAGGACTTAAAAGAGGGCTTAGCCCTAGCCTGTTTGGCTCAGTGGATAGAGCATCAGCCTGCGGACTGAAGGGTCCGGGTTCGATTTTGGTCAAGGGCACATGCTCAGGTTGCGGGCTCCATCCCCAGTAGGAGGCATGCAGGAGGCAGCCAATCAATGATGCTCATCATGGATGTTTCTATCTCTCCCTCTCTGAAATCAATAAAAATGTATTTTTTTAAAAAAGAGAGCTCAGACGATATTGCTAAAAGTTTAGTTAAAATCCAAGACCAAATTGATTCCCTTGCAGCTATAACATTACAGAACAGATGAGGCTTAGACCTGCTGACAGCTGAGAAAGGTCTTTGTCTCTTCCTGGAAGAGAGCTGCTTTTGCATTAACCAGTCAGGACTAGGCAGAGATGCAGCTCAGAAGTTGACAGAAATGGCCACCAAAATTAGAGAGCGTCAGTCCAACACATGGGACTCGGCTAAAAAATACAAATTGGTATACCTGACTCCTTCCTTTTATAGGCCCGTTAACATTCATATTCCTTAGTCTTGCCTTTGGCCCTTGTATTCTGCGCCACTTTTCTTTATTTCTTCAGGACCATTTCCAAGCTTTCACCAACCATCCATCTGGAACCAGAACCTCACCCAGACAGGAGGGGACCAATACCTCACAGGGGCTGACTACCAAAATCTGTCCCATTACGTCTTTGGCGCCCCCATCCAGCCTGAAGCAGATACAGAAGAAACAACCTCTGCCCCCATTCCATAAACAAGGTCTGGGCAAGCAGTGACCCAAACCTCCTCTAGAGCTTGTCCTTCTCTGCATGAGAACCTGGCTTTAGACATCCCCCTTGACTAAATGCAGTAACTTTCCATCATACCCGCCCAGAAAAACCCCACCCAGGGTCCTGTAAAGGCCCTGACTCCCCGACCGCTCAGGGGTGATGCCATCAGAAAAACCCCACCCAGGGTCCTGTAAAGGCCCTGACCTCTCATGGGTGATGCCATTTGGGACTCAGCCCATCGGTTTGCAGATGCCTTAATAAACTTAACATTCTTTACTTCATCTGGCCTCATGCGTTCCTCCTCCAGCAATCTAACACTTACTACAGGATTAATTGGCCACTGAGAGCTTTCCCATTGGGTCCTGTGGAGGGAAGTTGACTGCCCAGATTACCACGTGCTCCTTGGAGAGCACTGAGGTTCCCAGCAGCCCTGCTCTGTTTTCTTTCGTGGGCATATTCTTGGATCTCAACCTGGTTATGAGGGAGTACCACTCTCTTAGTGTTGAAGTCCGGATCTGGGCTTTGCCGAGAGCTCTAAAAGGTGATTTCAACAGACGAGACAGGCACTCCAGAAAACACAACTTTATTCGCTAGGACTGAAAACAAGGCTCTCTCTCAACAGGCTTGGAGATTTTAGTGTAAGGTGTGGTGCACTATCAGCCCTCTCAGCTCGACCTCACCAAGTACAGGCCTCAGCTGTGTGAAGACGGTACCTTCGTCAGCAGGTGAGGGCTGGTGGTCCCAGTGTACCTGACATTTTTGTGATTTACCACATGCTATTCCTTGTATTACAAAGCCACAGTCTTGGCATCCTCCAAGGGGACGTGAGAAAAGATCCTGTTGATTGAACCAGAGCCTCCTAGTGGGTGGGCCGGGAGCACGTGCCCCTGGTCCTTGGCACAAACGCATGTGATTCTCAGTGAAGTCCTCTGCCTGGGGCCTGGTCAGGAGTCCTGCCATTCTCTGCCTGGGCAGCAAGCATGTGCAGCTGAAGACATGGCTTTGTAAGGGGTTAGGTCAGAACTGCTGCCTAAAAACTGAATATGTCCAGGAGGGGGCAGCAGAGAGCACCAAGTGCCCTGCACAGCGCATCCCTTCCTACAGTTGCTTTTCGGTGAAGGCCTTGCGGGTAAGGCTCTCAGGCGGCAGCAAGCGAAAGGGCTGCAGACCCGCTAGCTCTCTGGAGCCCATTTGTTAGGACTGAGGTTATATAGATTGCAACACAGACAGGGGAAGGGCGAGGCTCAGCCCGAGAGTCCTGGAAACCCTGGGATTGACCGCTGGGTGACAAGTAGAGGGCCCTGTCGACCAGCTTTCCCTGGTTCAGGGTCTGCAGCAGGAGGCCCTGCGGCCCTCCCTCTTGACATAGTCGTGCAGCTGGAAGTGGAGCTCGCTGGTGCTCTTCATGGAGCGCTGCTTCAGCTCCCTGTGGGACAGGGGTGACCATGGAACAGGGTGGCCAGTACCCCCAACAGGGGGATTCAGAGCCTGGATCTGAATCTGGAGGTCTTCCTGGTGACTGCGAGGACTTACTTTGCTATGGCTGTGAAGGCCAAATCCACGTTGAGGCCCATCTTGGCACTGGTCTCCATGAAAGGCAGCCCATACTCCTGCAAATAGCTGCTGCCAGCCAGGTGGCAGCCTGGTGGGGACAGCCCAGGCCCTACAGCCCCATGGGGGGCAGCCCTAGCCACCCACCCCGCCCAGACTCACCTTGGCCAGCTTCTCCCCATCCTCCCTCTTCACCACGCGCTCCTGGGCAGAATCCACCTGACACAGGGATCTTGGTGAGAGCTGGGCTCGGGCTCACCGCCCTGTAGAGCCAGGGGAAGAGGACAGGCAGGGGTGCCCACCTTGTTCCCTAGCAGCATGAGCACCACGTCGTGCTGGGCATATTCTTGGATCTCGGTCAGCCAGGCCTGTCACGGGAGAGCTGAAACCAGACTGGAGGCTGGTGTTCTCCACACCCCTTGCCTCTCCAAGCCACACCCCACACAGTGCCTCTCTAACAGGAAAGGCCCGGAAATGTAGCCATGGGCCATGCTGAGATACCCCTGACAAGTATCCAAGATGGTTGGGCCACCTTCAGCTCATCCTCTACACTTGGGCCACCAGGAGCCCAGAGGGGCCCTCTTTCCCCCTCCCTGCTGTCAGTAGGGTCCTCAGACCATCTACCTAAATGAGTTTGGAGTGGGACCAGGACCCATCATGGCCTCTCACACCACACACACACACACACTCACCAACCCAGAAGGAAGCCACTGACCTGGATGTTGTCGAAGGAAGCCTTGTTGGTGACATCATAGAGCAGTAGCAGTGCTGGGGGCAGAGGGCCAGTGAGGACACCTCCAGGCACCCACAACCCTCCTCTGGGCAGAAGCCTAGGGAACAGGGCACACACAGACACAGACCACAGCCCCGACTCCTTGGCCTGGGACACTGCCCATGAGCTCACCATGTGCATCACGATAGTAGGCATGGGTGACGCTGCGGAACCGCTCCTGGCCAGCTGTGTCCCAGATCTACAGTGACAGGTACAGGCCGGTGGTCAGGCCTGCCCAGTGCCTCCTGAGTGCCCTCAACTCACCCTCCCCCAGTTGCCTCACCTGCAGCTTCACCTTCATGCCATCCACGTCCAGAACTTTGTTCTGAAACACAACCAGCCAACTCCAGTAATGGGCCCAGTGCCATGTTCTGGCAGGGGCCAAGGGGTCGGGGAGGGGAGAGGCAGGCAGTGCAGGACCAGGACTGAGCCTGAAGTTGATGAGCCCCTGAGTTGACTCTGCCCCCAACACCCACATGGTTCACCTCCCTCTTTCCACCAGGAGGTAACACTTCCCCTTGAACCCAAATCCTAGAGTCAACCCAGCTCTCCCTGGTGCCTTCGGTGAGCCCCTCCTGATAATTCATGCTCAGAGGGCACCAGGCCTCTCTCCTGCTCAGATGGCCATGCTGATAGACTTGCAGGGTGTCTAATTCTGGGCCAGGTTGTCCTTCCTCTGCCCACCCTGCAGCCTGGCACCTGGCCCCACCAGCTCCGCTGCCCCTTGCCACCACCCACCACAGTCAGTCACTGACTCCAGTTGCTCTGGCCCTCTCCCAGCACCTCTCAAGCCCAGTCCCTTCACCCTAGCCTGCCCTCTCCCTGGTACTCCCGATTCAGCCTCACCCCACACACCTGTCCCCTACATGCTCCCCAGAGTGTAGACCCCAGCCCCCTCACCAAGGACTGGCGTCTCTCAGCTCTGCGGGTGCTGCTCCTTTTGCTTAAAGCCATTTGCGTGATATTGGAAGTCACCCACTGTGCGATTACAGGTCCATTACTAGTACTCTGTGCCTCAGTTTTCCCACCCACAAATGGAGATACCAGGGCACCCATCACATAGCTGCTCCAATGGCTTTATGAGTTACTATGTGCAAAGCACTGAGAACTGTCTGGCCCAGACTGACAGCTAAGAGCATGTGTTCTAATATATTTGATTTAATGTATTTATTATTGATTTTAGAGAGGGAGGGAGAGAAACATCAATCCAGTTCCCTCCTATAAGTGCCCCAACTGAGCCTGGGCACATTTGTTCTAATTTAAAAGCTGCTCTATGCTGGTTTGGCTCAGTGGATAGAGCGTTGGACAGTGGACTGAAGGGTCCCAGGTTCGATTCCAGGCAAGGGCACATGCCCAGGTTGTGGGCTCGATCCCCAGTTGGGGGCCTGCAGGAGGCAGCCGATCAATGATTCTCATCATAGATGTTTCTCTCTCTCCCTCTCCCTTCCTCTCTGAAATCAATAAAAACACATTTTTAAAAATAAAAGCTGCTCTCCACATGGGGATGGCAGTTCTCCGAGGACAGGGCCCAGGGCAGTAAACAGAGTGCAGAACTCTGCCTCGTACACAGTGGGTGCTCTCTATGTGTTGGCTGCCTGGCCATGCCCTCTAGTCAGCCCTAAAGGTTGGGGCCCAACCCTGGCTTCCATTTGCTGGGTGGGGATGAGGGGTGGCTGGAATGTCACTGTCTCCCTTTTCCCAAACTGCTGCTGTCAGGTGCTTCTGGGTCTCCAGGGAACCAAGCCCAGCCATCTGCCAGGCTGGGGAGAACACCCCGCCTTCCCTGACGCCTGGAACAGAGGTATGAACCAACTGCCTCACCTCCCTCACCACCTGCCCCAGAGCCAAGAGGGAGGTGAGAAGGGGGAAGTAGGGCCAGAACAGGCAAAGGACCACCTGCCCTGGGCCTAACACAGCCCCTTCTGACACCTCAACCTTTATACTTCCTCCCCGAGGACTTGAGGGGACCTTGTCCCCCTAAAGAGGGTAGAGAATGGCCCCCAGACTGGAGGGAACCCCCCTTTGCTATCCCGAGGGTGGGCCTCCCTCCCAGCCTCAGAACAACTGTGTCTAATTAAAGGGTGAGAAAAATGCAAATTCAGGATTTGCAGAGAACACACCGGCACTTACGCAGCACCTCAGCACTGGCACGTGGAATTTAGGCTGATAGGCAGAGGTGGAGCTCTGATGCTGGAGCCCTGCAAGCCTCAGACCCTGGTCCCCATCATTTCCTACTGACCCCATAAGCTGCCTGGGGCGCTGTCAGGGCTTTGGAGCCAAGAATCCAGGGGCACCCCCAGAAGAATACCAGGACACAGCCCTCCTGCTAGGGGTGGTAAGGGGACTTTGGCAGGGGAGAGTAGCTGGGTAGGAACATTTCCCATGAGCCTCCTCACCCAAGGGCAGGGACCTCTGCCCTAAGCAATCCCTCGGTCTCTAGAGAATACCCTTTCCTCAGTTGCTGGATGGGGTGTGTGTTCAAGGGCCACAGCCACCTGTCTTGTAGGTCCTGGATGGCCTGCCTGGCACCTCAGGGCCCCCTTTGTACAGAGGGGCAGCAATGCTGGCCTTCCAAG